TATATAAAGGACCTCAGCTTCTATAGATTTTGTCACCTTGCGGGGGGGGTGAACTTACCCTGTTTGGACACCAAGGGACAACTGTAGACAGTCTCTGTCATAGCTAATAAAGCATGTGAAGTTTTATGACACAGAGAACACGATATTATAGTATTATATAGAGACATACTGCCTTTAGTATGTCTTCCAAGCAAATGTATTGACAAGTGCTTTAAAAAGACATGTGAGCCGCTGGGTGCCAGTGGCTCATGCCTGTCATCCTAGCTACTCAGGAGGCTGAGATCTGAGATTCACAGTTCAAAGCCAGCCCTGCCCCCCTCCCTGCAAAGAAATGCTTTGAGAATCTTATTTCTAGTTAAGCACCAAAAACAGCCAGTAGTGGAGCTGTGGCTCAAGTAAAAGAGACATATAACTCAGGGACAGTACAAAAGCCCCAGGACCAGTACAAGTACACCACACACACACACACACACACACACACACACACACACACACACAAGCAATTAGGACTAACTTGAATCCATGAGGCTTTGCTTATGTGTTTGAGATTTAGATTATGCATATGTCTATACATGTACATGTATGTTAGTCAAGACTGATTTCATAACTGACTAGAGTGCAAATCTACAACTAAGAGAGTAAAGAAATACGAGTTTACAACAGGAAATGTGGCTCACAGGTGAACAGTGGGATGCGGAATGCCTAGGTGTGATCCTCAGAGGAAGGAAGGAAGGAAAGAAGGAAGGAAGGAAGGAAGGAAGGAAGGAAGGGAGGAAGGAAAGAAGGGAGGGAGGGAGGGAGGAAGGAAGGGAAGGAAGGAGGGAGGGAGGGAGGGAGGGAGGAAGGGAGGGAGGGAGAGAGGAGTAAGAGAAGACCGGAAAGAAAAGAGGGAGAGAGGGAGGGGATGGTTGGAAATAAATTGGGAGAACAAAGAGGAAGGAATGAAGACCATTACTGATACTACAGGAAGCAGAGTTTTAAGCATTGATGGGGTCTGGAGGTGAGGGTGGATGGGTCTGGGTGGGGCTGTGTTTCCTGGCCACACAATGGACATAAGCAGTTGCTGAGCGCACTGAAACATGGCACCCACTGCTGGGATCGTCCTGGCAGTGTACAATGGCAGCACACCGGCCTCACTGGGCTCAGTGGCCGCCCACAGAGCCTCCTCTACAGCCCCAAGCAGCTTCTGCAGTGGTTCCTGGCGGAGCTTAGCATGACTAGAACAACTTTCTTAGGAGTCTTGAGACGTTGCAGGAAACTCTCTCCTACTTATTTACTAAACTATGCCAGTAACTTTCCCATTGATTTCAGGGTAAAATGATAATGCTTTAGGCAGACTGCATTGAGTGAAGTGACAGGGCGATATTGATTCTGCCTGCTCCTAATTTTTAATATGTGACTCTCAGACAATCTTAAGATTAAATCTTTGGCTTGCATTATATTTTGTTGGAGAGCCACTGATCTCTAAGAGATCGTATCTTAAAAAAGAAAAAGAAAAGAGAACAAGAAGTGTGAATCTGAACATGAAGACTTTGGGAAATGAAGAAGCCCTAAAGGAGCTCAGAGAATACAAGAAAACTGTCCTCAAGGATGGAAAGCAAAGGAAAATGGTGGAAGACCAACACAGGGGCTAAATTCAACTCAGAGATGTCTTTGCTTTGGCCAGCAGTTTTAACCATCAAAGTGTTTCAATAATATATTTAATGCAAAATTTATTTAAAAAAAAAACTCCTGGAAGCTTTCCTATAGAATTTCAGACTCTGTTTTCTCTTAAAAAAAAAAAAGGAAAAATTCTGCAAAAATCTTCTTTCTTGCATTCTGTCAAAGCTGGATGTGGCAGCTACACACACACACACACACACACACACACACACACACGTATACATGTACATATATTTATTTAAAAATCTATTTATGTTATAATAATGTAATTTGTATGATTTATTTATATGATGCTATAATATATATTATATTATTATATTGTATATAATATAGATTATTTTTATTTATAATTAAATAGTTTATATTATATATAGATTATATTATATATATATATGTGTGTGTATGTATGTATTGCATTTGGCCACTGTTTCCACCATTCCTTAGTGCCTAGAATTGAATGCTGGCTGGTGGTCATGGCTTTCAAAAATATCAGAAATCTCCAGCATGCATCTCACATCATAGAGGAGTGAACAGTACATGAATTTAAACCTCCAGTCGACGTGTTTAGTGTTACTTAGATTGATATGTTAAAAACAAAATTCTTTTTAAAAATGACATGAAAGAGGTATCAAACCCAGGCAGAACATGATATGCTTAGAAGAAGCTTCTTTAAATAAATTCCACCAGGAGAAGCATTGAGAAGATGGGGCAGGACAGAGGTTCACACCTGGAATTCCAACTATTCGGGAGATAGAGATTGGGAAGATCGCAGATCTAGGTCAGCCTAGGTGCAGAATGAATGAATCAATGAATGAATGAATAAATAAGCACTATGGCACAAGCTTATAATCCCAGCTGTAGGTGTTAGGAAACTTGTGCTGTTCCAGCCTAGCCCCAGGTAAAATTGTCACACCTTATCTGAAAAATAACCTATAAAGAAAAAGGGTTGTGTATATATGGTAGAACCTTTGTATATCAAGCAAAGGATACCAAGTTCAAACCCCAGTACCACCTTGTCCCTCCCTGTCACCCCCCAAAAAAGTTCCAAGGAGCAGGAATTCACATTAACAAATAACTGAACAATGAATGTGTACGAAATCTGCCCCACAAGACACACATTTCTCTGACTATCCATAAACACAGATGCTATTGAAAATGTGAAAAACTTGGAGACTGTCAAAATTAAACAGTAGATTAAAGAAAAAAAGAGAGAAAAGGAAAAGTCTAACCATGGAAAGAACTCATCGAAAAACAACATGTTCAACAGATGAATCGAAAGCCTATGAATCTATTGGCAGCAACAACAGAAATCAGCTGGCTTCAGGATAAACTCCACAGTGGTCAAATCATAGAAGCGTGTGTAATACCAAACTCACTTGCTGAGCACAAGGTAATTTTGGCTCAGTCAATCACTCTTACAGTAAATAAACAGGGAACCATAGGCACCAAATGGATCTGTACTCAAGCCCAGCAAGTACCAGAACATTCTTGATGTCTGCTCGACGGGCATGGACCATCTGTGCTATTAGCAAAGGATCTGAGTTTCCATGGAACTAATTAAGCTGTTCCTTACATAAGATTTTTTTTTTTTTACTCAGCCAAGATGATCACTGAAACAGTTTTCCATCTTGTCTTTTCCTTTCCTTCCTTCCTTCCTTCCTTGTCCTTCATTTCATAGCTACAAAACTTTTATTTATTGATTATTAATTAATTACTTTTTATTTATTTGTTTATTGTCAGTTGTGGGGCTTGAACTCAGGGCCTGGGCATTGTCCCTGAGCCTCTCTGTGCTCAAGGCTAGTGCTCTACCACGTTGAGCCACACTCCACTTCTGGTTTTTGAGTGGTTCACTGGAGGTAAAAGTGTCATGAGGACTTTTCTGCCTGGGCTGGCTTCCAACTGTGATCCTCAGATCTCAGCCTCCTCAGTAGCTAGGATGACAGACATGAGCTACTGACACCCACCTGCATATCTTCAAGTAGTTGTATGTACAAAGGGTTTCAGTTCAGCATGTTGATTTGTGAGTACCATGCATCTTGACCAGTATCACCCCCTGCCTCCTTCTCCCTATCTCTCCCAACCTCACCCAGCCCCTTAATTTACTTAGATATTAACTAAGTAAATATCTATACTGAATATTATGAGTATATTCACCTACTCTTCCTCTCTCCATTTATCTATCCCCTGTCCTCTCTGCTGATATCTTTCTTTTTCTTTTTCTTTTTGGCCAGTCCTGGGGCTTGAACTCAGGGCCTGGTCACTGTCTCTGAACTCCTTTTGCTCAAAGCTAGCACTCTACCACTTGAGCCACAGTGCCACTTCTGGCGTTTTGTGTTTATGTGCTGCTGTGGAATTCAACCCAGGCCTTCATGCATGCTGGGCATGCATACCGCTAAGCCACATTCCCAGCCCACATTTCTTTTTCTAACACTAAAATAAATTTGAAAATGTGTTTATTCCTTGTTTTACAAAAAAAAAAGAAAAGAAAAAACAAAAAAATCTGCCTGAGATCTCATCAGATTTTTCCATTAATGGCAGTTTTAAAGAAAACCAATAACATTAATTGAATTCTTAGGAGCCATACATAATTTCTTGAGATAATTTCTTGAGATTAAGCATACTGAATGGTGTGACATTGATCAAGATATATCATATTCATAAATTGCTCTGTTCAATGGCAGCTCCTTTGTACAGCTACTTAAAAGATAATCAGAATATGCATTTAAATTGTAAATTTACACGCTAAATTGTACATTCAAAAGATATATTTCCACATTAGGCAATGTGGAAATCTGTATAAGTAAGCAAATAAATTTAACATTTCCTTTTACAAGTCCCCTTATACCTAGTATTAAAGGTTGACTTTAAGAATTTATAGATGTTCTTTTGTTAGCTATGATCTCAATCACCAATAAAACATCAGAAGATAAAATGGCACAATAGTTCCATGTAGCAAATACACTTAAAAGGAGTAGTTTCACCTTCCTATATAGAAGCTAAGTCATTTTGCCTGAAAATATTAAAGCCCCCAAATGCTATGAAAGAATCTTGTATACTTCTAAATAATTTGCTTAGCTCATTAATTAATATAAAAGATCTTCCATAAATGAGCAGCCATAAATTTTGGGATCCTTTCATATTTATGTTGTTCACAGTTTCCTCCAAGTCACCTCTATTGTGAGAGAATATAGATAAATGAAAGTTTACAGTGAAAAAATAAATACATATCCAGGTGGCCAATACCAAAACCATCATCAGATTTCTTTCTCTGGGCAGTGATCCCATCTCAACTAGATGATTAGTGTCAGCACAGCATTCACGCCCCACCACAGACTCACAGCTCGAGAAGATCAGCGGGCAGGAATGCTCATCCATAGGGAAGTTGTGCAGCTGTAGCTGACACTCCGCGTTGATGGTAAGCCTGTGGAGAAGTCAAACATGTCTCAGAGTCAGTAACAACACAGCCAGGGCTCTGGGCAGAGCCAGTGGGGCTGGGCGAGGTAGCAGGAGAGTTGAGGGGCAGTCACGTGACACAGCACCCAGCTCTGGGTGCTCACTCTCAGCCACTTCGTTGTTGGCTCAGACAATGAACTTTCAGTGGTAGAAAGAGCTTCCGGTGAGTACAACTCCAGCTGTGTCTGGAAGTACAGGCCAAGGCAGCCAGGAGGAAAACAAAGCAAAGCCACACAAAAGGAAACGTAACAACTCTTGTGGCATTGGTCATTGTGTTCACTCGGTGTGGATGGAATCCTTTCTCTCTTTGAAACCGGGATGCTGGTCTAGAATAGGTGTGATGCCAAATCAAACAACTTGTTGGGGAGATTTCCTACTTGGATGGTTCCCTGATCATTTTGCGTGCCAGAGGATGGCTCTACGCAGGCATTCTGCTTCCTTCCGGACCAGGTCCTCTGAATACCCACATTGTTGTTTGTGTTTCCAAAGTGGAAAAAGAAATAGTTAATATTAAGGAATGCAGTGTTCACTATTTAATATCATTTTGAATATATTTCTATGGGCCAGAGATGCTACGTAGACATTCCATGTCATCATTACCATTCTATTCGCATCCCAGTTTTCAGATGGGAAAATAGGCTCATGGAGTTTGAATGACTTGTTTAAGGACATACAGCTAGAATGCTCGTAGGGTGGGATTTGAATGAACTCCAAGAAATGGAAATGAGAGGTTTATTTTCTTTTAATGTATTATGTGAAGTTATTTCTTTTTTTCATTCATTCCCCCCGCCCCCCACCATTTGGTTTATCCCCTGTTGTGGTTGTTTTGGATTTTGGTACCCTGTGGTCTTGTATATATACATTTATCTGATTTGGGGAAGAGAAGGGGAATAACAAAGGACAAAGGATGAACCGATGCAACAGTGACACTCACAAGACACTATGTTGGCAATGAACTTTACAACTTGGGGAAAGGGAGTCATGGGGGGGAAGGGGAGGGAGGGGTAATGGGAGGAAAGGAGGGAGGGGGGACATTGTTCGACAAGAAATGCACTCACTACTTGTGCCACTGTGACCCCTCTGAGCATCACTTTTACAATAAAATTTAATTTACAAAAATATGAATGCCCACAGTCTTATCCAGAATGCTGTTTTTGGCCTTGTCTGCAAGAACCTAGAGCCTCAAACTGTAACACAGCAGAGGGTAACGGCTTGTTTGCTCATCCATCTCTAACCATTTCCCACCTCATCGTCATCCTGGGGCCCAACTCTTTTCCATGGCTTTCTGAGTTCTAAAGAGAGGTCTCGGTAAGGCCTGCTCCTTTTCCCAGCCCGCAGGAACTTCGATGGACAAAACGAACAGGTTCATGTGCAAAGGAAAAAGGCAGAAGTTAGCTGGAGGATCTCAGGCCCCAGATCCAAGCCGCCAAGAGCAGAAGGGATTCTGGAGAGATTCCCTGCTCTCCTTTTCTTGCTGGGACCGTCCTGGATCCCCACAAACATCCTCGGCTCTCCCATGTCTCACAAGGATGGCAGTTTGAGCTAGAAAAGTCTCCATGTATTCCTCAGGGCCGGCCTTAAAGGAATCTCTTTCCTTCCACTAAATGGTGTTGCCCAGGTTTTTGGCAGAAGCTCAGATTCCAGTCATGAAGGGGACAGTTTTGGGTGGAAACCCAGCATGCATGTGGATTTAGGTTCATACACATAGAAGAGCCAGACCAGAAGGAGTGTGCAAGGGTGTCGGGGGCTGAGTGTTGAGATGGGGGTGAGGAGGAAAGGGAGGAAGAAGAACAAACAGAATGAGACACAGCCACAGGGCAGTGGCAGGGGGAAGCAGAGGAGGAAGGAAACCTGTACCTCCAAAGGCAGGACCAGAGGCCATGGAGACAGAGGCTAGATGGGAGAAGAGCATCCTGTGGAATTTCTGCACTGTCAGGTAAGTCCACTGGAGGGCGCTGCCCTGATCCCAGGGCTGGCACAGGTCAATATTACCAGGTGCCCTGGCATCTTAGGCTCAGACAGCACAGACGGAGCTGTCTGGCTGTGTGGACAAGGTGAGAGTTTGACTAAGGTCAAACTCCAGTCAAACTTATCTCCTCCAGTGCCTCTGGTATCGACTCTGAAGAAATACAGTTTCTCTCGTCTCCTGCAGGACATCTATATTTTATTGAGTGGGCCGTGGAGTTGATCACATAAAAGCTGATATTCACAAGGCAATTTCCAGCAGCAACGGGTTCGGATGAGAGATCAACTTTATGCCTTTATTTATTATTATTATTTATTTTTATTTGTTGCTAGTCCTGGGGGCTTGAACTCGGGGCCTGGGCACTGGCCTTGAGCTTCTTTTGCTCAAGGCTAGCACTCTACCACTTCAGCCACAGCACCACTTCTGGCTTTTTCTGTGTATGTGGTACTGAGGAATTGAACTCAGGGCTTTATGCATGCTTAGGTAAGCACTCTACCACTGAGCCACCTTCCCAGCCCCTATGCAAGGTAATGAGTACATTTCTTATTGAGCATTGTTGCCTCCTCCTTTGTTTTTCCCTACCATCCCTTCCCTCTTACCTCCAAAACTACACCCCCTATGCCCCTGCCCCTCCCGCACCTAAATTGTAAAGTTCGTGTTTCAGCATAGTGTCTTGTACATCTCATTGTTGCAATGGGTCCACCTGTATCCTTATTTAAGCATTTTGTTTTTTCCCTTCTCCTCCCCAAATTAGACCAACATCAAATACAGTGAAAACAGGGGTTATATCATGGGAAAGGAACATACAAAGCAACAAAAAAGTTACATGGTACATTATAAATATGTTAGAAACAATAGCAAGAAAGAAAAAAACCACTTGTGTCCCTATCTTGGGGTTCATTTCGCTTAACATCATCTTATCTGGTCACATGCACATAGTTTTTGACCTTTTCTGCTTTTCCTAGGCATATACTAGTTATTGAAAATAAGGGAAACCATGGGACCTATGTTTCTTTGGGCTTGGCTTACTTCACTTAATATAATTTTTTCCAAGTCTTTCCATTTCCTAACAAATGGGGCAATGTCATTCTTTCTGATGGAGGCATAGAATTCCATTTTGTATATATACCACATTTTCTTGATCCATTCATCTACTGAGGGGCATCTGGGTTGGTTCCATATCTTAGCTATGGTAAATAATGCTGTAATAAACATAGCTGTGCTGGTAGCTTTAGTATAGCCTTGTTTGTGATCATTTGGGTAAATGCCCAAAGTGGGATTGCTGGGTCATAGGGGAGCTCTATGTGGAGTCTATTGAGGAACCTCCATACTGCTTTCCAAAGTGGTTGAACAAATTTACACTCCCACCAACAATGCAGTAGGGTTCCCTTCTGCCTTCTGCCTTTAGTTTTATACCCATGGCCTTCGTACCAACTTGATGAGCAGGATGCCATAGTTATGTCAAATGTGAGAAAGAACAGAAATTAAAACGTGAGAAATGGGGCCTCCTCCCAGAAATGATTCAAATTAAGGATTTAAACTAAAATGAGAGTTAATTTAAAATAAACTAACAAAATCAGACTCTAAGCGATGAAAGATTCATACAGCTTGATGGGAGGAGGAATTATTCCAGTGTTCAATAGCACAATCGGAGTAAGGCCAATCCATGATTTATGATCCATTTCAAAGTAAGTTTAAGTACAAAAATACCTAATAAAAGCTTTCAGATGCACAGAGATGATAAATTTTGGAAGAGCTGGAAATGTTAATTACATGGATTTGATCAATGCACAGGATGTGCATGTATCAACTGTGTCATCCTATCCCTCAGAAATATGTACAAACATGATGTGGCCATGAATAAATAAATGTTTGAGAGATCCACAGAGCATCTTACCGCAAGGTGTAGAGGATTTTCCCGTCATTCCAAATGCGAAGAAGCTGATTGGGTGTGGTGATCCAGTGGGCCTCTGCCGTTTTGGAATTACGGAAGATGGTGTCTGGGATCCATATCATGCCCACCATGTTGCTATTCAGGGTAAGGATTTTCATCGTGCTGTTGAACCGAAGACGACTGTCAGTCCAGGTCTGAGCGAAAAAGATGTCAATTTGATATTCCTGGAACAGAGCAAAAGAGAGAGAGAAAGCAATTTGTATGAAAGGACTGTATGCAGATGTTTGTTTCTTTGTTTGAAATTCATTTTTCCCGTGTTGATATCCTCTCCCCCTCAATCCTGACTTGGTGTTTATCCTACAGTGTCTGGCTTACCCTAGTAGCATTCAATGACAGATAACCAATATGAGACACGACACTGGTTTTTATAACTTGCTTAATTTACTGCTCATATATCAAGTATGATGAGGTGTGGAAAGAGACAAAAGAATATATATCAGAGTGTGGATGGAAAAGATAGGTTCCCAAGCCCAAACTTCTGACAGAGCCTGTGTTATCGTAAAATGAAGGAACAAATATAAGTGTGTAAAGCTCAAAGGAAATGATGAAATGAAAACCTTGAGAGTCTAATATAGAGCCCGTGATCCATAGTTAACTCATATAATAGCTCCTTAATAATTCATAATGATAATAATTCATATAATAACAATAACAATGCATTTATTATTCAGGATGGTTCTCCACCGAAAATTTAAAACAAAAGGAAAAGAAATAGCAACTACATAGAGCTACGGAGAACAGCTATCCAAACACAGCCTGACTGCAACAGAAGACTGAAAGGAAACAGGTTACAGAGACAAAGATACAGTATAGGGTGCCATTCTAAGATTCACAGGACCAGTTAAACATCACTGGCCAGGCACCAGTGGCTCATGCCTATAATCCTAGCTACTCAGGGAGGCTGAGAGCTGAGGATCATGGTTTGAAGGAATTAAAATATAACTTAATTAATTATGAAATTAATTCTTATTATTTATTTATTTTATTTATGTGAATTTATTTTATGTATGTGAAATTTATTTAGGTGAATTAAAGGTACGGAGGACTGCTAACTCCTTCCATTAATACTGGTTTAAGAGGATGAGAAGATTCTTTCCAAGCGTGGCTATCCCTCACCCCTATTAGATATCGAAGTTCTAAACACATACTCACTGTAAAAGCCTTGTAGGATACATTCTGGAAGGAATTTTAAACTGTTCAAAACGTTTTTTTTTCACCACTCTGTTTGATCTGAATATTTTACAAGGAAACCGAAACTTGGAACAGGAATTTTATCAGTTACTCAACATGTGTGTACTTAGAGCACAAGTTCAAAAAACTTGCAAAGGAATCTTTTTATTGAAATGACCAGTAAGAAGCTCTCCTTTATTTGCATTTTTTTCTGTTCTTATCATCTTTCATTTCCCATTCCAATTAAACAACTATTTATATCTCTTCTTTGTAACACTATTTTAAAATGCAAATTCACAACCAGGTGTTTATGGTTCATGCCTGTTATCCCAACTGCTTGGGAGGCTGAGATCTGAGAATCTGGGGTTCAAAGCAGACCAATCCAAGAGTCAATTATCTCCACTTAACCAGGAAAAAAATCATAAAGTGGAGGAGTGGCATAAGTGGTAGAGCACCAGCCTTGAGTGAAAAAGCCAAGCAAGAGCAGAAGACCCTGATCTGAAGCTGCAGAACTGGTACCAAAATTAAAAAAATAAAAAGAAAGAAAGCTGATTTGCATTTGTATCCCAAGACATGATGGATTACCTAAAATTCTTCCTGAGATGCAAGTGCATTCTGTAGCAGGCATCTGAAATACCAAGACAGAAGGGAAAAAGCATCCCTTGTGGTTGGCAAACTCAGGCTTCACAGCACAAGTAACCTTAACACAAGGATTGAGTTCCAACTGCTCTAACTTCTAGGGTCAAAGTCCCCTTCCCAGTGTGGCTGATGGAATGCTGAGATCTTAGAATCTGTGAGGGAAAGAAGCTCAGAGAACAGTCACCCACCACTTCCACTCTATGTACAAACTGATAAACAGATGAACATCTTTTTATCAGTCCCTGTTTCCTCTTTTGTAGCACCCAGTCTGATGAAAGTTGAAAAACTGAGCACCCTTTCGACTTGTAAATAACATTTACTTTTATATTTTTATATTTTGTGTGTGTGTGTGTGTGTGTGTGTGTGTGTGTGTGTGTCTTTTAGTACCAGTCCTAGGCTTTGAATTCAGGGATTGGGTAATTTTCCTCAAGGCTAATACTGTTACCACTTAAGCCACAGCTCTACTTCCAGCTTTTTTTTTTTCCCTTTTGGTGGTTACTTGGAGAGAGAAAAGTTTTATGAACTTTGCTTCTAACCATGATCCTCATTTCTCAGCCTCCTGGGTAGCTAGAGTGACAGGTGTGAGCCATCGGCGCTTGGCTATTTTGTCTTTCTCTAAATCCTTGCCTACACGTATAGCTTTTTCAATGTTGAAACTAATTTACTAGTCTCCTTCTTTCTGTGTCTTCCTTCTTCAAGAATATGACAGAACGGCTTCACGCGTTCCATCTTCTACTATAGGAGAGGACTTTCATGGGTTTGAATTCTGCAGGAAGTATTTAGTAATGATCCATAAAGCTTTTTCTATGGCTCACAGAGTCAGTACTTGGAATTTCTGATTTCCTTTAGCCTAAGAGAATATGTGGTGAGGGACTAGGCTCAGGGTGAGCCAACCTACTCCTCTTTATTCTGAAATCCTGCCACAGACTCCAATTTCAGTGGGTGTACAACGTGTTCAGGAGGTGGCTGTGTTATTGTATCTACAGTTGACTAAATGTTGGAGAAACACTTCCCACCCACAGAGAAATATTTTCCTTTCTCCCATAAACTTTCTTTGTAATGGCATTAATCATCCTTCCTTTCTGCAGAAGAAGAAACACCATCTTCCCGTGACTGCCTAAAAATAAACAGTTGTAGCTAATTCATAAATGGCAGTGAAATGGATGTGTCAGAAATACTAATAAATGTAGCAGGTAAAAATTCTTTGGAATCTTCCCTGATCTAAGCCTTTGAGTTGGTGGAAGGCCCCTGCTTGGCATTTGTTTTCATAATTGGAGGCTTAATGATTTCTAAATTAGCCATGAATTACTGGGCTGTGTGGGGCAACTTGACAAAACAGAAGAAAAAGTATGCTTCTTAATAATATCCATCTGTAAGCTCTAAAACAACAACAACAGAAACAACAACAACAAAACCCTCAAAAGTTGCCAGGTACCTTTGGCTCATGTCTGTCATCCTAGCTACTCAGGAAACTGAGATCTGAGGATTATGGGTTAAAACCAGCCTGGGCAGGAAAGTCAGTGAGACTCTCGTCTACAATTAATCACCAAAAATTTTAGCTGCAAGTGAAGCTATAGTTCAAGTGGTAGAGCACTAGCCTTGAGCACAAAAGCTCAGGGACAGTGCCCAGACCCTGACTTTGAGCCTCAGGACTGGCATACACACACACACACACACACACACACACACACACACGTTATTTCCACCTACTTTTCTCCCTCCTTTCTCAATAAAGGCCAGTTGATTATATAAAAAAATGAGAGATTCTTTTTGATGATGGCCATTCTAACTGGGGTGAGAAATGGACATGACACCGGTGGCTCACGCCTGACATCTGAAGATTGTGGTTTGAAGCCAGCCCAGGCAGGAAAGTCTGTGAGATTCTTAATCTCCAATTAATCACCTGAAGTGGTTTAGAGCAAAAGACATTCCAGGGACTGTGCTCAGGCCCTGAGTTCAAACCCCCTGACAAAACATTAAAAAAAAAAAAAAGCAAATGATAGATCACCAGTCATGAACAAAAACCGCTAAGGGACGGTGCCTAGGCTCTGAGTTCAAGACCCAGTACAAACCCAGAGATTAGAGTTAGCACGGGAGATTCTTACAAAAACAGTGACCCCTTGTAAGGAGACATTTGTGAGGCTTTGTTCATCATGGTGTAGCTAAAAATTTCAATCTTCACAAATATCCAGGAAAAGCTCTTAAGCAAGAAACTGAATGTTTTAAAAAAAAAAAGGGTACACACACTTGGTCAGTGGCTCAGGCCTGTACTCCTAGCTATTCAGGAGGCTGAGAACAGAGGATCACAAATCAAAGCCTGGGCAGGAATGTCTGTGAGAGACTCATCTCCAAGTTTTCACCAAAAAGCTGGAAGTGGAGTTGTGGCTCAAGTGGTAAATGGCTAGCCTCGAGCAAAAGAGCTAAGAGACTGTGCCCAGCCCTAAGTACAAGTCCCAGTACTGGTACAAAAGAAAAAAGAAAGGAAAAAGAAGAAAGAGGAAAGAAGGAGAAGAAGGAGAAGGAGAAGGAGAAGGAGGAGGAGGAGGAGGAGGAGGAGGAGGTGATAGAGAAGGAGGAGGTGGTGAAAGAAAGAAAGAAAGAAAGAAAGAAAGAAAGAAAGAAAGAAGGAAGAAGGAAGATAGGAAGGAAGAAGGGAGGAAGGAAGAAGGGAAGGAAGGAAGGAAAGAAGGAAGAGGAAGAAGGAAGAACAAGAGGAAAAAAGCAAACCAAATCCACCACTTCATCACATTGCATTTTAATTTTTGCAAAGCATCGACATCTGTATAATGAATATAGCTTACAAAAATGGTAAATATTAGCCAGGCACTTGTGGCTCACTCATCCTATAATCTTAGCTATTCAAGCTGTGATCTGAGAATCTTACTTTACTGCTAGCCCAGGCAGACAAATCTTGGGAGATTCTCAATTAACCCACAAAAAGTCAGAGGTGGAGGTGTGGCTCATGTGGTAGAGAACCAGCTATGAGGGAAATTTAAAAAAAATTCAAATTAGAATGTAAGAACTGAAGTTTAAGGTCCAGTTACCAGTACAAACTCTCTCTCTCTCTCCCTCCCTCTCTCTCTGTCTCTGTCTCTCTCTTTCTCTCTCTCTCTCACACACACAGAAATAACTATTACCAAAGTTATTTGAAAATGCAATCAAAAGACAAGAGGGTTTGCATACACAGAAGCAATGCTTTTGTGGCTGTGACTACAGAAAAACAATATCTAGTCAGGTTCCAATTTTCCTTTTGCCTAAGACTAAAGCTCTGTAGATTGGAGTTGCTGTTGGCTTTTGTTTTATTTTGTTTTGTTTTCCCTTATTTGTCACCAAGCATGCCAATCTATTTTTGAGT